GGGGGGGGGGTGGAGAATGTGATTCCTGTGCCTTAGTAATCCATCTTTTTCTCTACTCACCCGTTCCTCATATGCCTCACTGTTTGACCCAACTTTTACCTGGGCTCCTGAAGAAGTAGACAAAGAATAGGGGTGATGCCAACCTTCTGGAATGGAATTTCTCACTCTTCCTCCAATCCCTTCCTCAGTGATATCACCTCATGTTTCCAGGCTTGTTCCACCTAACCATTACCTGCCTGGGAAATACCCAAGTTGAAGTCCCATAAAAGTTTCACCAACTATGGTCAGAAGATTTGTGACTGGGGATCTCTTAAGCCCCTTTCCAGGGCGGATAATACAATCGCTGATCCCCTGCTTCTAGGTCAGAGATACTGTAACCACCATAGATCAGATTATTAAGTGAGAACAAACACCCCCCCAAATCCAACTTCTTATTTCTTAGACAGCATTGCACCCTAACCCAGCTGAGGTTGGTAAGAAGAAACACAGACTGCACCTTAAACCAGTTGAAGCCAAGGAAAAGTGTAGGGAACAGTTGGAACAGCCAACAGTCACAATTTTTTTTTTTTTTTTTTTAACTTTTGTCATCATTCGCTACCCCGGGAGTACCAAAAAACTTCGAGTCACCACAACTCACCACTAAGAGGAACAAAAGAGTGGGTCCTTTCAAGACCCAGATCCTCCAGTCCACCCATGAGCATTCCCAGAAGCTCCCATAACTGATACCAGGCCCTGCTTCCACTTCTCCAACTAACTAGTCTTCTAGATTAGAAAAGCTTTCCTCCTTTGCCTCAGTTCTCCCTCAATGAACCCAAATCCCTCTCAGCTCAACTCAGAGCACCCTAGTTATTTTCATAATAGACACTTTCCCTGAAGAGAATGCCCCTTACCCAACTAAGATGCCTTCTCAGGCCCTTCCAACTAGACAGCTCGAAAGCCTCAGCCCCGGTTATCCTCGCGGCCCGGGCGTCTGATTTGACCCCTCCGCACCTCCCGGCAAATGGGCTTACCTCACCCGTGGCCCCGTCCCTTTCCCCCAGCTCCTCCCTCCTCAGAGCTGCTCAATGAGGCCTGCCCCTGCCCTCACACAGCCCCGGGCCTCCCGCGCCGGCCCTCGGCCCCCGCAGGCCGCCAACACAACCCGGCCGCCTCCCGGCCTCACCAACTTCGGGCTCCCAGCCCGCCCGGCCCCCTCCTCAGCGCCCCCATTAGGCCTGCCGGGGCCCGGCCCCCTGCTCCCCTCTCCAGTGGGCCGCCCTGACCCCTCGCTGAGGTCCAGACCCGCCTCTGCTCTCAGGCCAGTCCGCTCTCCTCTCCTGGGCGCCTCCGCCCCTGCCCTTGTGGGCTCCATCAGCCCGGTACCTGGGGCTCCGTCTCCCCCGTCGGGCCCAAGCCTGTGTCGAACAGACAAACAGCTGCAGCTCAACCAAACCTCCTGCCCCTCCTCCTCCTCCTCCTCCTCCTCCTCCTCGCCTTGGGGTGGGGGCCCCAGCCAATAGCACGATTACCCGCCTACCACCAAGGGTGGGCGATGTGTGCACTAATCCGCCAATCCTCTGGAGAAAGGCGGGCCTCTTCCGGCGCCGTCACCAACGGGTACCAGCGAGGTACTGGACAGGCGGGGCTCCGGACCAATATAGAGAAGGAAACCTCGAAGATGGACGAGGTGAGGAGCCAGTAAAGAGCTAGCTTTCTGAGACAGGGGGCGGTTCACTGCTGACAGGCGTACATATCAACCAATAACATCTCGACGCCCTCATGACCCCGCCTTCTGACTCATAAACATCTAATCAGGTGAGTGATGGAGGCGGGTCCAAGTGAAGACTTAACCAGTACTGGGAAAATTCGGAACTTGAATGGCAGGCAAGGCGGGTTGAAAGTAGCCTTAGGAAGGCCGCTACTGACCTTCGCCCCTCCCCCCGAATTTGGCGGGGGCTGACTCTAGCTCCCCGCCCTTTATGACAAATTGGCGGCGTAAAGAGAAATATCTCACCTAAGGACCCGGAGTCCGGGAATTAAAGTATAGCTCACGTCGGTGCGTCCTCCTTTTTGTGGGGCCCCAGAGACAGGAATTTTGCGGGTGGCTCGCGCGGGCGGTCTGAGATGTTTTTTGGTGGGGTTGAGACAGTGGCAACTCCCAGGAAGTGGTAGCTTGGGGGGACGTTAGCCCCCTTAATGATTTTTCATACAGACAATTTATATATTCTGAACTATATGTAAATGTGATTAAAGTATCTTTAGAAAACTGTGATACGCAACAAAAAGGAAAAACG